TTCCCCCTGTGGGGAAAAAACCCTCTGTGCTTGTTGGCTCTCCGCCAGCAAGGAGACCCGACCCCTGGCTTGGTCTGCAGACAGGCCTGCACCTTTGAACCTTTTTACTGTTTCATTGTTTATTTGTTGCCTCACCCTAACCCAGGGTCTGGGCTCATAAACTGCTGGATAGCTTAACAGACACTGCTTAATTGACTTTGCTGCCCCACCCTGAACAAGGGTGTGGCACCTAGACTGCCACCTGGCCTACCAAAGACTGCTTAACTGTTTATTTGCTGCCCTGCTCTGAACAAGGGTGGGCTGCCAGAACTGATACTCAGCCTGCAGTCAGGCCCTTGAGGCCCCAGACTCTGGGGGCTTGTTGTGTGTCAGCATGGTCTCCCGCTGAGACAAACTATTACAGGATCACTTCAAAAATTGCCCTGCTCTGTTCACTGCCTCTCAAGCATCTGTGCTAGATACACTATTGGTCTCACCTAGGATGGTTATTCTCATGTTCTTATGGAGTCTCTTGGGATACTGCATAGGAAACGCAATAAGGGTTGCAGTGAATTGGCTTGGATCTAGGCAGGGGAGTACTGTACTTATCACAGAATTGTTCCTCTTCCAACACAATCACAGTAGTTGAACCAGAGAGAAAAAGGAGGATTCTGATGAATTTTGTGACCCACCCCAGGGCAGAGAGAAATCTTTATGTAAATTGGAGAGGGACATAACATCAGTTCTGATGGAGAAGAGACAATAAGCTCAATTTTACTGCAGGGAATAGCACACATACAGGATCAATTTTACCAGCAGAGGAGAATATAAGGTCAAATTTGCTGAGAATGATCAAAGGGAAAAAGGGTCAATTTGCTAAGTGAGTTGATGAAAACAGACTTAAGTTTGAGAGAAGAACATCAATTGGTTGCTTGGGAGGATCAACTAGATGAGGTGTGGATACTTAAAATAGATGAAACTGGACTTAGGGTACGTCTAGACTACATGCCTCTGTCGCCAGAGGCATGTAGATGAGGCTACCAGGCATAGGAAAATGAAGCGGCGATTTAAATAATCGCCGCTTCATTTAAATTTACAAGGCTGCCGCGCTGAGCCGATCAGCTGTTTGTCAGCTCGGGTGTCGACATCAAAGGCATTTGTCGACCACCCAGGTAAACCTTGTAAACAAGGCATGTCGCCTCTGGCGACAGAGGCATGTAGTCTAGATGTACCCTTATATGCTTGATAGATTGGAGGTCAGAGATTTGGGGAGGCTGGGGTGACAGTGCAGTGTGTAGGTAGATATTTGATTTGGAATCGAGGAGAGTTAGAGTAGAAAAGTCTGTTGACTGCAACTTTTGGGAAGGGAACAAAGATTGATGAGCGATATAGAATATATTGATAAGACTGTGAGCTGCAGAAGGGAATAGGGTGTTAGTGGACAGAGGATAGATTGCTGAAAAGTGGAAGCAGACATAGGATACATTCAGGGTTGCAGGGAGGGCAGACAATAGACTGGGGACGTACATGGCAAGTTATATGGGCTCATGGTGTTCTTGCATCAGGAATATTCCTGGCTCAGGGCTGGGCTCCAGCAAAGTTTGGGGCCAGAAAGAGACCCAGCCCCACCTGCCTCCCCCATGTACTTCCTCTGTGTCCGACAGCTCTGCCCACTGCCTGTTGGTGACTGAAAACATCACGGGGGGCCCCTCGCTGCCATCACCACTAGCAGCACAGTGGGGCTGGAGTGGTTCCCTGTTGCTCACTTTCTGCAGCTCCCGGCACCTCCCTCTGGCCCCGGGGCAGGGGTGGGGGAGAGGGGAAGATATGTGTGTGCTGTTTTTGTGCTGCTCCTGCTGCTAGGAGCAGCACACAGACATACTTCTACCCTTGACTGC